TTGCCTGAATCTAAGCAATCCGTCTTTCCACCGTGCCTTTCAGCTTTAAGTTTCACCCACAAACCACTCCAGCTGGAGCATGGTTGTGACGTGGGAGGTGCATCAGAAACTTGGCTCGAAGCGCAGTTCACTTTCTTGCTGAACGTACGACATGCGATGGCGCCTCATGATTCCCGAACGACATGCTACCCCGGTACAAAATGGTCTTGTGCACCCCTCACGAGTGTCGTCAGAGAACTGGCTGGCAGAAGCTGAGCGAGCCTCACGAAGAAACTCACAGTCGGAAATGTTGCAAACATCTGCCTGGCAACCATCAATATTTCGCAGCAGAAGACACAACACAGTCTTGCAAGCGCCTGTGTTGGATCAAGTACTGGAAGCACCGAGATTTTTCCTGGACCCTGCGCATCAGAAGGGCTATATTGCTTTATGGTTAATTTCTTTCCAACAGGAAGAGGCTTGGGGTCTGCTGCCGAAACAAAAACTGCTGCAGATTGGGACAAGCTCTGGAGCAGGTAGTTCGGGGCGGCTTCCGAGGCAGGTTGCAGGTTGCTCAGTTCCGGGCAGGTTCGGAGGTTCTGCGGGTTCCGTCAGTGTAGTGAGGAGGCGGGTTCAAAACACGTCGAGGGTGTGGGATTAGGAGCTGTGACCAATCGTCGCCCAATAAGGCGGCTGTTTTGCAGTAAGCCCTATACCCTCAATTGACTCAACCCAAAACGTCATGCTATCCAGAAAGGAACTGCTTCATCATCGCAAGACCACTGCAGTACCCAGATGAATCCTTGCCATAGTTTCCGCAGAACAGGATTCTGGAAATTGCAGTTATCCACTAGCCTGCCACAAACCAGGAACTTGCGAATCACAATTTCCCAAAAGCTTGCTGTAGAACAAGACTCTGCAACACGCAATTCCCCAATAGCTCGCCACTGATTCCAAGAGGATGGGACCATGCAAAATGGCAATCCCTACTAGCTTGACGCAAAACAGGAATCTACAAACTGGAATTCGCCCGCAGCTTGAAGCAGTAGGGAAGGAATTACCCCATAGCGTGATGCAAAGCATCGACTTGGAGGACCCTGCCAAAAGGAATTCCCCAATTACTTGACGCAGAAGCAACTCCATCCAACTGTTTCAAACAGCTGCTCCACCAAACCTTCTGCAGGCAAGTCCACCCTCCCCCAAATTCCTTCAAAATGAAGCCCCCAATTCCTTGCCGCAGAGCAAAATCCTGCACAATGAAATTGCTTAATAGGTTGACGAAAAACGATGCTGTGCAAATTGCAGTTCCCCGACAGCTTGCTGCGGAGCAAGCCGCCAAGCTCTCCAACAAGAACTTAATTGCCACATTAAAATGCCGCAAGCTCGATTCAGTCCTCTGAATAGGCTTGGATTCCAACCATCACGACGCTTCCGTTAACCTGGTTGCACAGCATGCGCACATGACGGAACGCAACTTGGAGGGGCTCACAGAGTCAAGCCTTTGCGACCGCCGGGGCCTTGTCTGTCTTCGAATCAAACCTCATCTGAAAAAGCTCCAATTGACTTCGGCATAACAGAAGCGCACACTTTGGGGATGGCTGTAGGGTTTTGCGCAGTTCAGCCAGAGGTTGATCGAACATCGTCTCGAAGGAGATCTGTCAGGAGATACGCCGGTTCACCGCTTGCGTACAAGATCCCACGATGCTTTGCCGCCTCCTGTAGGACTTCGGGAAGCTGCACAGGAACGGCCTCCTTGTCAACTTCGAACCTCATTTCCTGTCAAGACATGCGTTAGCTCTCAACATTCCACTTCGAGCAGTCGTGGAGTGGGATGCTCTGCCTTGCGCCCTTGGCGGAACAGCTCCAGAATGTCTTGCTGTTCTTTAGCCTCTCAATATTTGCGCAAGCTGCAGAAGGGATAAGGCACACGTGCAGCAATGGTTGCCTCGTCAACAGGTGGCGCCGCCTCCGCCTTGCAGGCGAAACAGCATGAGCATGCGCTGCCGTGTCGGCAGGGACATGCAGGGCCTGTTTGGGTGGACGTCGGTGCTCCCACGGAGCCTTTGACCAAACACAGCGACTCTGAAGTTCCCAGATCGACCGAACTGGTCCGCCTTCTTGGCCTCGAGAGGTCGCCATTTGTTTGGCGGCATTGTTTGGCGGTTCCCAAAAAGCCAAAAGGCTGCCGTCAACAGAATTGTAACATGCTGTGTGACACTTCCGTTGGACAGCTTTAGGAAGATGAGCCCCTGCACAAGTTTCGCGGCAACACGCCATCATAGCTTCGAAGTCTACTGTCCTTTGCCTGTACGTTCGCAAGAAGTCGCAGACCTGCTAGGTGTGGCTACACAGCGACAAACAGCTGTGGTGACGTGCGGACTTCACTCGAGGTCGCAGGCGTCCCGAAGTTTCCAGGAGCTCCGGTTCCTCATTGTCCCTCCATCGTCACATCTTTCGCTGAGTAACCGCTGTCCGCCTTCTCACCAGCATCACTGCCCAAAGCTTGACCAGGATCTGCAAGGACTGTTATCCTTTGGTAGATGTTGATGTATGCCTTGGTGCTGATCTTCGAGCAAACCAGACTCTTCAGGAACATTGACCCACTGACAAGTACAACATGGATTATAATGGTTTCAACCACGGAACAATTTGAGTGTCGGCTTTCCCCCCACACAGGTCTGTGCTCAAGCCTGTCATGTCCTTCCAGTTTACGAAGGTAACGTCGTCGTCATCAAAGAGAACCCACTTGTCATCCTGCTGAACGGCACAGCACACTGCTGGCCTGAAATATTGCATATCACACGGCGAGATCACAGCGGGAAGGGGACGCACCTTGAGGTCCTTGCCATCCGCTTTCTTGTGGAGGGTCCAGCCCACGTAGTGGCCTCCGTCGGCCTTGAACCGTGCACTAGGACACCAACCCCGCAAGCATTTCAGTGACTCCAGCGCTAAACACGCAGCAGTCGATGCAATCAATGCAATTCTGAGGCTAAGCTCCACGCAGTTCGACCTTTGTGCGAAACTATCCCGATGAGCTGGTAGTAGCCAGTGTCAAGCTCTTCCAAGCCCACTGGCTGCATCTCAGAGTCCTGCCCGAAATAAGTCCGAGCGAGATGAAGACTCAGTGCTTAAGCACGTGAGGAATGAAGGAGATCTTCGGTCCTCTGCTGGCTTCATCTCCACATCTTCCTTCGCAGAACTACCTTGGCAGCTCACATTCCCCTAGCGCCGATGTGTTGTCAGGAAGTGTTCCGAGGTCCGACGCTGTCAACACCGATCGACCAAAGTTCAAAACCTAGTGACCCAGTGATCATACTTCCTGGGCTGCTTTCGAGTTGTTTACGCCACGCGTACTTCGGTCTCTGCTGGTTGGGCGGATTAGCTGCAGTGTGCACGAAGCCATTTGCTGTGAAGGGCCAAGGATGTGCTCTCGATAGCGTGGCCGCTCAGCCCAGCCGCGAACTCTCCGCAAAGGTGATGCATCGGTTGGGTCAGAGTGCACTATACTGACAGCCTATGCACATGGACGAGCCTGATCAAACTCAGCCTTCCCATTGGTGTTTGCGGATCAACAAGCTCTTCGTCTACAAGTCAAGGGATCACATGCAGCTTTCTCGTACTTTGTTGGAGGAAAACAGGATTGCGATCAAACCTGCAGCGATAGAACACGTGCGGCAGAGTTCTTCATGAGACAGAAAAGGAGAAACTGGGCCTTTGCTGTCGTAGTTGTCAAAGTGTTGAAAAAATCTAGGGATTTCGTTGGGCTGTTGCATTGGAGCATCTCCGCAACTTGCAATTTCACGGCCACTTGCCACAAATCTCTTCCTTTCTGGAAACTGTACCGGCAACCCACACACCCGCCTTAGAAGAAGCCGCCTCCCAGAAGCGAAGCACGCAAAGAGCGACATGAGCGAAGGGCACAGTCTGAGCTCTGTTGGCAGACCTTTTTCATTGTTACTACTGCTATCACCACGACAATCACGTTACTGCTACGTTCTGACGTGTCGAATCCCGTCTCCGAGCACCAGCAAAAAACCGTTCGTCACTGTTGCAACTGTTTCTAATGATACGACGTACTCTTACTGCCTCAACTATCATAACAAAATCTGCTCTAATTTCGATTCTAGTCTCTAATGCGAACTTTATCGTGCGCTTTCATACCCCTGCTCGTGCCACTGCTTCAAATACTGTCATTGCGATTTGCGCCAGTAAGCCATTTCTTGCAGTGTTGAGTCCTAATCTTGATACTACCTCTTCTACACTGGATTTCTCGTCTTAGTATCCCAACAGCCAACGCAGGGCGAAAAATCTTGTTGGGAGGACGACGCCTCGCCAACCACACATACACACAGGACAAGAGTGAGGACCTGATACAACCAATGCAAACAAGCGGCCCTTGTCCAAGGCGGCCTTTTGCCTTTCAAGCTCCTTGTCTTCTTGCTCTTTTTTCTTCACGCGGCCAACCTTATTAACAAGCATGCGGTGGAGCTGCAGGTGACTCAAGGTCACACATCCCGAAAAAACAGACGATATGCAAGCCAAGACACAGATAGTCTCTTCTTCACATCATCAGATGTGCAATCAAAAATGTCGAAGGTGTGTGTGAATGCGCATTTGCGCGTTAGCTTCACCTTGGAAGCACTAGTGCCAGCCCATTCATTGGCACCTTTGTAGCCAAACCGGGCAAATTGAACCTCAGCATCCGGATATGAGAAACCATGCGTCTGTTCCACTCGGATTTCCAAGCTCCAAACGACGAGGAAGGGTGGCAAGCTTGCAATGGACGATGATTTCTCGTACTGCGCGTTGCGACCCAACACGGGCGATTGCTTCTCAATGTGTTCCTTCAGAGACAACTGTACCTCGGCGAGTGCTTCGCGCACACCGGCCATGCCTACCCCGACATGACAACAGCAGGGTCTAGCGAAGGTTCTTCAGACAGGCGGCACCTTGAGTGATATGCGATACGGGATCCGTCTGCGTTCCGAGATGGCACAGCAGCACGCGGCTCATCTCTTCCGTCTCCTCCGGACAAAGCCAAAAACAGGTAGCACAGCACAGCACGGGCTGCCCAGGCCTGCGGTGCTTCTTCATCACACTCGAGGCATCGAAGCGTGGATTTTATCTTGTAGCCAAACAGCTCGTCTATCCTGTTCCGAGCTGCACGGTGTCTCAAAACGCCTTCAAAGGCAGCTCAGGCCTGTTTGTGGATTCGCTGCTCCCCTTTAAGGTTCCTGAAAGGGTTGTGAGTAGCCCACGGAGGCACTCATCCGCGTCCTGTCACATCAGGATAAGCCTGATTCATCCGAGCGCTTCCGACATGCCGCTACTCGGTAGCTGATGTCCTGCTGCATCGGCGCTCCATTCTGCATCTCTGCAAACCTGCAGCATTTGGGGCATTAAGAAGCTTAAAACACTCTACCCCAAGGCCACGGCCTTGGAAAGCGCTGCCGCAAAGCCATGACGAACTGCATGGGAACGATGGAGTCCGTGGTGCTGGTGAGCTGCGTGTTGACGCTTCGCAGCTGCGCGGTGAGCACCTCAGCTTCGCCCTCCGCCATCTGCAGTCTGCTCTGCTAAGACGCTCTACTCGGCACGCCGAGTCCAAGGAAGGGGCTGAGTCGATATCACGGACCTGCACACGAGTCTTTGCTTGTCGTAACATAATTCACTTTCACTCGCATGCCTCAGTCCCGGGAGGCTGGTAGTGGTTGAGCGCTTCTCTCAGATCTCCCACCCTGTTCAGGCATTGCAGAGTTGCATTCATGTAGCACGTGTTGCCCAAGTTCTTGATTCCAGCTGGTGGGATTTCCACTTTCCTGAGCGCCCATTGCAAGTTTCCATTGGCTACATACAGAACTGCTCCTTTTGGCCAAGGCCCAGACTTCTCTTTCAAGATCTTCGCCTTCTCTTCTGGAGACAGGTCCTCCTCGAAGACTACTTTCTCCTCTGGAGCTTTCAGCTCTTTGCCCTGAGAATCTTGTCAGGCGATCGGAAAGGACAGATCGAACACTCCCACGAGCATGGGCCTCGGGGGTGCCCATCAGCTGCACCTTTGCCCCTGGCTTCAGCTTTGCAACCTCAAAATGAACGCTGCCATCATTCCCCCTGAAATTCTGCTCATTTCGAGATAGCCACCTTGGCCATGAGGTCGTCGGTATCCTTCAGCATCCCTCCAGGAAATCCCAAAAACTTCCTCAGCACTCGAATATGACCTCCCTTGCACACAGCTGTGCCACTTGCTTCCATGGCTCTGCCTATCCATAGGCACTTGAGTCAGAGTCCAAACCTGTGTTTTGAAGACCTTCCAGGTTGACCGAACAGGAAGCAACCGGTACAACGAGATCAAGCCTCCACAGTGGAGCCCTCTTCGATGGTGATGTCAAACTCTTCTTTGTTCCATTTGAGCTTAATTTGCCTTGGTCCAAGATTTCACGGCAGTGCAGGACCCAGGCCTGAAATCCGGTGCTGCCAGGCAGCGCCATGTCGGGTAAGTCTCTTCTGGTCAGCGAGGATGCCACAAACTTTACAAGCACCCGATGTGGGCTGCTCTGCTACTCCTGTGGCTGCGATTCCCGACGATATAGTTGAATGCTGGAATAACATGAGATCTGTTCATTGCTTGAGCGAGATAGCCGCCTTGCATGGCACCCGGGTTCAAGCTCACAAAATGCTTGCGTGCCTCCTCAAATACAGTGAGGCAACTCCGGTCCTGCCTAACCGGCTGCCTTAAGCAAACTCATGCTCCAGTCTTTCACACAAAGTGATGGCCTGTCATGGGTCACGACTCTTGCTTGGCAAGGTCAGTCTAAGACGTGAACAGCTTTCGCTGTTCATCTAACTACCAGGTCCACTAGGCATCATTTAAGCATGCGAGTTGTTGAAGACTGCCTGCGGGACTTCATGCTTCAGAAAGAGATGTGCGCACTCGAGCACGGACCAAGGAATCCCGCAGCCTTTGAGTTTTCACGATTCTAGCTCCAGGCCTCAGAGGCGTAGCCACCATAGCCACTGTAGCCACCAGACCTCACAGGCGATTGGAGAGCTTCCGCCGCCCACAGCACGACAGCACGACGTGCCCCGGCCTCGGTACCTCGACTCCCTCACCGCCCTCGAGGCCTTGGACCACACATCGCGAAAGCACACCATCAGTGCAGTTACCGTCACCGCCTGAGGCCAGAGAATCAGGTACAGCCTGCAGCATCAGCGAGGCTGCCATTAACTTGCCAGAACAACATGAATCATGAATGGCAACACTGACCATCGGTCGCACGCGCAGTAAACATCAGGCAGTTGGTCACGAACATCAATTTCCGAAGGTTCTCGTCGAGAGATCTCTATCTAGCCATGCGAGTTCTCGTCTTCGAGTGGAACTTCCAAGACCCTTTTGACAAAATAGAAACCCTCGAATCTCACCCTCGCTTTGAAGAACGTGGACCCACAGATGACAAACCTGACTCGTTCCAAATCCAAAGCTGTTGTGGAAATCACGAATCTGGCAGAAAGCTGTTCAGAGGAGAAGTCGTTTTGAGCAAGAATGGGTTCAGCACGACCCCGAATGCTCTTGCGAGTGCCTGCGAAGGATCCAAGATGCCATTAGTGGCAGCAAGCTGCCGCTGCATTAACGCCACGAAAGCCTCGCAAAGCACGAGCTAAGCACAGGCTTTAGTGGATGATTCTCCCCCTGCATCCTCATAATCCATCACTGCTAGCAATGAGTCCGCGATGTCCTGAGCAAGGCCTGCCAAGTTCAAAGAACGCTGCACTTCAGCATGTGACAATCAGCATCTTTCGAGTCTGCTACCAGCTGCAAACGCATGCACGATGCATCGTCAGTCTTGGAGCTCAGCCTCCCTGCTGGACGGCTTCTTGAAACGCTTCAAAGCCTCAAAAACAATTCCCATGTCAAGAAGCTGGCCAGTGCAACTTTTGGTTCCAATGAATATGCCTCCTTCGCTCATTATGCCGAAGGCTTCAACTTCATGGAGATGGTGGGGTCAGCGGTTCACACTCAATTCTGGCTGTAGGGCACCTAGCAACAGACGATGACATGCACCACTCGCTTTTCCGCAGCGAGGAACCTGAGATCAGAACGCAGGCGCTGACTGCACCCATGCCTCTAAAGGCATGACTAAAGATGCTTCGCACGAATTTCCATTTCTGGCATCTGTCTACGCCTTGTCCCTCACTCCATCAACATGGACTGCAACGACTTGACCTCGGAAGTGAGATTCGAGCTCAACTTGTAGCCTGCAAAAGTGTACAGAAGTCCTTCACTACTGTTGGGCTTGCCCTCTCACTGAAAGCAATGAGCATCAAAATTTCTCCACGTCTGTGAATGGTTCTGAGAGTGCAAGAGAAGCGTATCACTAGCTGCTCACATCATAAATCGGGTAGGCTTCAGGCTCATGCTGGGGGAAGCTCAAGGCAAAACCGAAGCAAAGCCAAATTCGCAGAATGACGACTACCCTATAGGCACGCACATTCATTGAATGCAGTGGTACCGTGAGCACTCTGAATATCAGGAAGGTGCCTTTGCATTTTTTGCCTGTCTCGCCTCCAAACCAGACCTGAAACTCGACTCGGATCAAGATGACTTGTTGAGGGCTTGACTCTTGAAGCGACTCTTGTTGCTGTCGTTATTGTTGTCCATCCTTTCTGTGAAGGCCACGTAGAGGATGTTCTTTGCGTCTGCATCATAAATACGCTTCACCTTCAACGTCTTGAAGAGGATGGCACGTGATTCCGTGAAGACGTCCTCTCCCTCCTTGCTCGGCTTTAGATCTGGGGAGATCATTACAGGTCCGTTCCTGGCGCAGGTCAGGCCTGCAGCCCCCGGGTCCGAAAAGAAGTCGCCTTTGCTAACCCGATCGGCCATGGATCGAGAGAAGTCGGAGATGTACAGCGAGACACCAGAAACTTTCGGATCCTCAAAAGCTTCCACGTTGATAGTGTCCTTGAAAATGAATCCGGATGCAGGAATCTCGCCCACCACCCGTTTGCTCTCGGCCGACGCTGGCGACAGCGCGGCAAATAAACCCAGGAGGATTGCCAGTCCAGTCGCCGCTGCTCCGCGGATGAGTTCCAGGTTGGGAGCTAAGTGCTCATCGGACTGTGCGTCATAAGGCCGGCGGTGCGCAGATAAGCGAGTCACCTGGCGGACATCGTGACAAATCGTAGATGCCTTCAAACATGAAACTCTGCTCAAACCAATCTACCAAAAGTAAATCGCTTTTCCATCAAGGTGCAGACGACATTCCACGACTCCATGGGCAAGAGCCGACGAAAGTGATGCTTCCTGGAGCAAAGCAGGTAGTGCAAGATGGTGCTTTCAAAACAGAGCCTGAGAGCCTACACTACAGTCTCTTCCTGTATGACGTGCAGACCGGGAGTCTGCGCACGGAACCCTACCAATTGCCAGGTGATAGGAAAACGGGAGCGACGTAAGTAGCACTATCTGCTTGGCAACAAGGATTTGTAAACAGGCCATGAGTAGCGCGGAGCAGGTATTATCGCAGACAAAGTTTGCTGCATCTCCTGCCTATGCACACCAAGCATACACTGGCAGCGACAGCTGCCAGCCGAGCCAGTGCCGTGAGCCTTCTGGCGCGAACGACCTCAAGCCGAAATGAGTCTTTGCTTTGCCAGTCTTTGATAAAGAAACATGTCTCGAGAAAATCTTTGAGACAAGCTGCCATGATGCGGCCGGGGAATGCCCAGGGACAGCTTTAGAGCCCAGAGTGGCAACAGGGGTGTCTTCACACTACAGGACTCGCGATCTGCATCTTCCCGAGACGCCGGCTGTGGCCTTTCTTGCAGAGCCATGCCTGCGGAATGCGATATTCGGCATCTAACAAGACTAAATCCAGCGCACATGTACGATATAAATATATAAACATGTGTATATATATAGACATATACACGTAGAGAAAAATATACATGCATGTGTATACAAATGTGTATACATATGTGTATGTACATATATATATATATAGAGATATATATAGATATATATATATAT